GCCCCCCCCCCTTTCTCTCTTCCGTACTCCGCCATTCTCACACCATTATGCACAGATTTCTATCCAAACGCAGCCCTCTTTCTTATCTTCCATCCCTACTCCGAAGCCATCCTTGTGCACTATAATTTCACAGAGGGCTTTATCTCATAAAATGCTATTCCGTTCCTTTTCCCCTTACAAAAATCCCCTTTTTTGGTCTCATTTGAGAAAATGGTGCAGTGACTCAATGGGGGTGAGTTTCATTCTCGATCAAGTTATCTCTGCCACGCCTTTCTCTCCGCTTTCGCCGAGAAGAGCTCAAAAATGCATTATGTCATAATTTGCAGGCAGGAAGGCAGGCAGGCAGGCAGACAGTCCCTCTCTCTGTCTCCCTTTCTCTCTGTCTCTCCCTCCCTCTCTATCTGTCTGTTTGTTTATCTGTCTGTCTGTCTGTCTGTCTGTCTGTCTGTCTGTCTCTTTTTTTCTCTCTCTCTCCCTCTCTCTCCCTCCCTCTCTTCCTCTTCTACATTTCCCCCCTTTCATCTCGTCGTTCTACAAGTAAAAACATAACAAAGAAAAGCCAGATGTAACCACTTTCCCAAAGCACTCACCTAGCCCAGATCCGTCAAACAGGCTCCTCCTGACCCGGCCGGTGACGTAGTCTGAGAGACGCCTCCTGTGTCGAGGGGTCATGCTACTCCTCTCCGCCCCGCCCTGCACGGACAGTCTCCTGCTGGCCGGCGTGGACGTGCTCACAGGACCCTGGTCTCCTCCACGGGAGAAGTTCTTCGGTGGCGTCAAGTTGGACGCAGCGCTTTGTCTTCTCGGCATCTCCATTTTGACGGCTGGAAGTTGTTCGGACAATCGTCGTCTCCCTGACGGGGACTTGGACTTCCCTTTCTTCGGCGGGTGTGGAGACAAAAATTGCGTGTTGCTCTGGTTCACATTTTGATCCATTTCCTTGACGGTCGGTTCTTGTTGCTTCGAAGTTTCTGTCGAATCTTTAGCCAATATTCTGGTCTTTGTCTTGACTTCTGGCACGGCTACCGTCTGGGCATCCTTTATCTCTTCACGTTTCTGTGCTGAGTATCGTTTCGGGTCGGCAGATCTGTGTCTTGGTCGACATCGGTTCACGCTGGGAGAAGACGTGGAGTCTTTGCGTTCTTTCTGAGACTGACTCCGAGACGCCATCTTGACTGGCTGGTCAGTCTTAGCCTCAGAAGTTAGTGACGACTTTCTTCTCTCCGATGATGTTGATGATCCACGCTTCCCTCCTGGAGGTGCAGGGACTTTTTTGCGCGCGTTTTCATCAGAAGGGGCGCTCCTCTTCTGATTATCGCGCTGTTTTGAACTCGAACCTTCGCTTTCCATAATTGGGATGCGGAGTTGCGTATGCGGAGACAGCTAAATTACTCGAAACAAGGCATCTTAGCTGGTATATTTCCCTTCTACACAGTGAGCAGTGGCGAAACTGAAGTCTGGTGGCAGGGCTGGCGGCGACGGTGTGTCGCTTTGGGGCACGTCTGTTCCATGCTGAGTTAACAGCTGTGGAGGAGACATAACATAATATTATGTAAATGAGAAACACATCAACACAAATAGCCGTGTAGTACGAGGAAGTCGAGGGGATGAATGTATAATAATAACTATAGCAACAAAGTAATAGTGAGAAGTAAAACGGAAAAACGTACTGGTGCCACCGACAGCCTCACTGAGGGGTAGAAAGTGGGAAAACAATAGCACAAAGAGTGACAAAAATAACCCTTCAGAAGATAAATTGCATACGTCAGACAATGCCCAGGTTGCATGAATATTATCCATAATTAGAAACACGCTGGGCTCTCAAGAACATGCATGGCTAGTAGGTTACGTGAGCAATGTTCCACGCTGCAGGAGAGCGGCGAGACGGATTATGCGAGGACGTTTGACCAACAAGGTCACACATGTGGGCGTCCGCGGGCTACTCCTTGGGATAGTTTCCTTACCATCCTCTCCCATGTGCCTGGATAACCTAGAGGGTAATGTGGCTATAGTAGATGTGTGGTCTCCAATCTTGTTCACATCCCAAATATTTAGTGTACAAGAGGAGTGGGGTCTATAGCAACACAAAGAGTACATTGTCCTGGCATCGTTTAATGTTTTGAGTGGAGGGAGGAAAGGTGGAAAAGGTGGGGGGCGGGGGTGGGGGGGGGGAGATTAAATACAAAGAAAAGAACAAAAGCGAAAGGAGAAAATATCAACGCAAGGAGGAGGAGGTCATGTTGATTGCATTGTAGTCTGCAGCTGGCTCCTAATATCCATAATAACTTCGTATTGATCTATTAAGAGACATTGGGTGTGAAAAATACGTTACAAGCCCAGTGGATGCACAACATACATAACAAATCGACTACTAAGAAAAAATGATTGCAAGTATTCATTTCGTCCTTCAGTATCCAATTCTGTGGCGTTTCATCTTTGCACAGTTATAAAAATCTAAAAGATACACCTCCACAAGCGTAATAAATAGAGAGGTGTAATCCTGTTATGTAGGTTTTTGTGTATTGAAGCATTACATAATACTATTGAAAGTGTAAAAATAAAATGTTATTAATATCTGTTTTAAGATGTTGTTGTTGGTTGGTTGTTGTTGTTTTTTTCAGTAACCTTATATATCAATTACCGTACATATGTACACTCCACTGGACATTCCAAAACATACATAACAAGGTTTCTGAAAAATAAATGCGGCGAACCAATAAAACAAAAACAATTAATGTTTCATTTCCTACATAAAATGACGCGTCGAAAAAAGCATGTACAAAACTGGACAAGCCCAAGCCCATAGATGAAAAAAAAAGCTGCACATGGCCATAAGATCTTGGAGCTGTGTCCAGATACATTCAGCCAACCACTCGTTGAGTGCTCATGGAGTGGAAACAAGCTGTGTGGCTTTTTGCACAAAGGCATGGGAATTTCACCCCTCTCGTACATCGTGTCGGTGCTGGAATACCAGGCCACTAAGAGCTGTGACCACCAGAGGAAATAAAAACTCTAGGGCATTCTAGGACAGTGGGAGATGGGTGACGGTGAGGGCAGGATACCGGGCATAACTCACCACTGACGGATCTACACCCTGCCAACTCACACATCTAGCCCTAGTTGTTCCACTACTCCTGTATTGTGGGTGGAAGGGCCGGGAGTCAAAGAGATATTAAGTGTTGGCAGCGGGATTAGCCAGGGGAAAATGCCTACTCGAGCCAGAATGTCAAGGTAATTACGTGCAGGAAAAGGTTAACTTTTTTTTGGTGCAAGCCGGGCACCGAACGTTATCCGAGCACCTGGCCTTGATTTGTTCACAACATTACACACGCCTGAGAATGATGCATTATGATGAGGCCAGGCATATCCGCTCACTATCATTCACGCTTTGGGCTTACAACCAAAAAAAAAAAAGAAGGAAAGAAAATAAAAGCATCCTAGTTTTACTATGATGTGCTAACTAGACGTGTTAGTTTGAAATTATTGTTGTTAGAGTTGTTATTGACATTGCGCTATTGTTGCTATTGTAGTCCTTGTCGCCGCTACTGACAAGATCTTAACGCTCCACTCTACTTAAAATGTAATTTGGAAGAAAATGCAGAGGTGCCCAGTTAAACCACTGAGAAGGACAGTACATTCCATAGAGTAAAATTTTAAACTTTCGACGTTTGAGTCGAGTTACCTAAGCAAAGTGCTACAGCAGTAGGATAACTTTAAATTCAGTCCGAGAAAAAACTATTTAAAAAACCCAGTGTGACGAATCTGAGTTCTATAATACTGCATGAATGATATTCTTGAGTAAAAATGTACATTTTGTTGGACGTCCTCCTCTTTCAACTATTATTATTGCTCTAAGGTCTAATTATGTCATAGATCGCATGAATGAAAAGAGGTGACAAACCCGCATACAAAGTAAAGTAAGTAAACGAGTCAATAAGGTCATCTAGTGACAAAACAACCGTTGTTAAGCCTAAAATAAATTTCAAATCATATGGCCAACGCTCTTTTTCATATTTTGTCCCACTTGTTTGGAATAGGCTTCCAAAAACTATCAGAGAAGCAGAAAATCTAGAAATTTTTAAGAAGAAACTAAAATCATTTCTATTTTCATCATATTTCGATTAGACAGAATGCATCCAAGCTGTAGATCGTTGTGAGTTTGTATGTGCGTATGTGCATATGTATGTATGTGTGTATGTGAGTATGTATATGTGTGTGGTGCGTGCGTGAGTGAATATGTGTTTGCATGAGTATGTAACACTATGTATCTTTAAAATTGATTTGTAAATCCATTATATGTATCATGTTAAGCTCATAGAGCATTGCATAAGTGGATATGCGCTATATAAATGCAATCCATTATTATTATTTTAATAACAGTAATATAATCGCCTGATTTCTGTCACATGGAGCCTCAACTATAATTCTGCAGAGAGAAAATAACAGTAAGAAAATGTTTTACCTTATAATTTGTTGATGAGCGTGCTTAAAACATTCATTTGAATTTCTAAACAGACAAAGAAACCTTGTTACTGAGCATCATCTTTACTGGAGCAGAGGCATTCGAAGAGGTAATTTGTATTTTTAAGAAGTGGGCAGAGAGACGGGGAATGTGAGTCCACATGTGAGCGGAAATAATGTGAGGCATCGTGGCGAAATCAAGTGCTCGTCAAAATGATGAAATCCGAGAAATCTGCATTTTTCAGCAAGTTTGGAATTTTTTTTCTCGCATTTTTGGTTTTTGGCTCAACACCTTGTACGTCCATTCAAAAACACTTTTATGTGTAGATTTTAAGGAAAAATCTGGACTAAAGGCACAACAAATTTAAATGTTCAGTTTTCATGGACTCTTAAGCTAAGGAAGTCCCAAAACTTTGGCGGCCATTTTCTCGCAAATGTTACCTCTGAAACCAGGCGACCCAACCTCCTTCAATCGTAAATATCCCAACTTCTATTCAAGATAAGCCAACATTTTTTCACCAACAGCAAGGGAAATGAACCTTTAAGATGATACCAATAACTTCATATGTCCAAAATTGACGAGCGCATGATTCCACTACGTCGTGACAAATATGTTTGTGCCACGCTCCTGGTACTGCCAAGAGCTACTTTCTCAGGAGGTACAGCCAACATGAACACTACTTTCTCACGCTTCACACCTCTTGACTAAGTCAGAAACATGAAGCGGGGAGTATAATCTTACTCTTTCGAAGGTTTTCAGATGATCGTCTGTCCTTAATTTGTGAATGGATACACGCTGCTTCATAAATTATAAATAGCTTAAATGAAAGTCTGTATCCAAAAACCTCATATCCATCACAATATGGAGAAAAGAAAGCTAAGCCTACCCCCCCTCCCAAAAAAGCCCGTTTCAGCGATCCATTTCTCTCTCTCTCTCTCTCTCTCTCTCTCTCTCTCTCTC